AAAATACTGATTTAATGAACTGTTTTCATTACTGTAAGGACATTCATTCTTAACCTCTTTACGTATTGTGTTATTCACTGGGTCTTAGCTCACTGTTCATATATATATGTAGGTGTACAGGCACCAGACCGTGGTTAGAAGCGTCGGGGTAAGCTCCAGTTTTGTCAAGCCAACCACTGTGCCTCACTGCGAGGTTCCGAGCCTGTCAAATTATGGCTTAGGGGTGTTTTAATTTCCCCGTCTGTCTCTGTATCTGTTTTGTATAACTGTATAGACTGTTACTGTACTGTTTAATAGGGATTAGGTCCCTGAACTGAATGATTGTATATATGTACATACTATTCTGTACTATTCATGTATATGTGTATGAAAAGTCTTTTTGGCATACAGACTGTCACAGCTCATTGGACATTGTTTAATTACTGTATTGGCTTCCGCCAGCCCCTGTACTCTGTATTACTGTATTACTGTTAAGCAGGCCTTCGATAATCTCGGATTACTGGCCGGTTACGGTGCTAAAACTTGCTAGGCACTTGTGAGACTTGGTCATATACATTGCATATCTTTTCTTCAGCCCTTTTGTGGGCTATAGCCAATTAGAGAGAGAGAGAGAATGAGAGGGATAGAGTGATTTCAACACATTTAGCTTGGTGACTTGAAGAACTTGTAGGAGATTTGCATAATTGAGCCTCATTGCCTTTGATTCAAGACTTAAGGTAGAGATTGTACCCTCTTGTTCATGTAATCAAGTCATATGTTGCATGGTTTATGTAAGTTTAGAGAGTAAGGGCATGAATTAACTTTAAATTGTTGAATTAGAGCTCATTTCATGCATGCATGTTTAAATTGTTGAATTTTGAGTTGATTCCATGGAGAATCATCACATACATGCCCATAGTTATGTTAAGTCCATGTTTTCATCTTGTCCTTGGAAGAATTGGCTCATTAGAGCATGAAATTGAAGATTTGAAATGGTTTAAATTCATGCATGTTTGCATGTTCTTCATATTTATTAAAATTGGTTTGAATTGAGTTGTTTGAAACACCATTGGGCTTTGATTTTACAAATTAAGCTTTGAATCATGTTAAAGTATGAGTTTTGGGATGTTTTCTGGAAAATTGGCCCTAAGAGGATCGAAATTTATGGTTTAAAACTTGGTTTTGAGCTTGAGGTTTAAATCTGAAATTTCTAGAATTTGGACTAACGCTCGAGCGGGGTGACTGGCACTCGAGCGTGAAATTCGTGCTCTCAGTACTTTGCATTGTTTTGAAGTCCGCTCGAGCGGAATAATTGACGCTCTAGCGGGACATTGTGTCTCATGCTTGAGCGGGTGTCGAGCGCCCAATCAAGCGTGATTTTCACCTATCCAGCACTTTTGACTGTTTTGTAGAACGCTCGAGCGGGTAAGTCTACGCTCGAGCGGAAACCTTTGTCTGCATGTCCGCTCGAGCGGAGTAACCTACGCTCGAGCGTGACCCCTATTTTCTGAAAATTCTGAAAATGCTTTTAAAGTGCATCTTTGCATCCTCATCTCATCCTAGGCATTATTAGGCCTAGTTTAAGGCATCTTAATGAGGATATAGATGTAGAACCACACCGAGACAAATTAGGGATTAAGTTATTATTTTTTCCCAACTGTGTAGCTTAGTGTGTGTTCAATCTGTAACTGTGTAGGGTTGGCGACTGGGGACGCGCTCTAGCTTTACTGTAGCCCAGAACTCTGTGAGTAACAACTGTGTAAAGATATGTTCAAAATGATTATCTTCTGAACAATTGAACTGTACTGCTTTCTGAACTGATACTGTTGATTGAATGAATGTATGTCCTATATTCTGAACTGTATTGTGGCATCCTTAACAACTACTGTTTACTGTTACTGTTACAGAGATCTCTGTCGGTTCTCTTGTTGGAACCACTACTGTTACTGATTGATGGCCATCATTTACTGTTCAGTCTTTTAAGACCTACTGTTTACTGTATTGTTATGCTAATGGATGTACCACGTATAACTGTACTGACTGAACGACTAAAATACTGATTTAATGAACTGTTTTCATTACTGTAAGGACATTCATTCTTAACATCTTTACGCATTGTGTTATTCACTGGGCCTTAGCTCACTGTTCATATATATATGCAAGTGTACAGGCACCAGACCGTGGTTAGAAGCGTCGGGGTAAGCTCCAGTTTTGTCAAGCCAACCACTGTGCCTCACTGCGAGGTTCCGAGCCTGTCAAGTTATGGCTTAGGGGTGTTTTAATTTCCCCGTCTGTCTCTGTATCTGTTTTGTATAACTGTATAGACTGTTACTGTACTGTTTAATAGGGATTAGGTCCCTGAATCGAATGATTGTTAATATGTACATACTGTTCTGTACTGTTCATGTATATATGTATGAAAGTCGTTTTGGCATACAGACTGTCACAGCTCATTGGACATTGTTTATTTACTGTATTGGCTTCCGCCAGGCCCCTGTACTCTGTGTTACTGTTCTTCTGTTAAGCAGGCCTTCGGTAATCTCGGATTACTGACCGGTTACGGTATTAAACCCATAGAGACGGGTTTGGGTCGTGACACATCCCTTTTAATAAAGTTAAAATAATTAAAATTAATACATATAGTTGGTAGGCAACAAAATAAATAATGATAAATATATATATATACTTTAGTAGAAAAAAAATGATAAAATCAAATTTTCATTTATTCGTCTCGTGTATTACTGATAAAAAATTACTTAAATATTGTGTGTATTAAAACTTTAAGAGAGAATAATGGAATTATGTTAAAAAATATATATATATATATATATTTTTTTTTTTCAAACTTAAGAGAAGGTAAGTGCAATTTAGAGGGCTGCTATTAGCACCTACCTAATTTATTTCGATCCCCCAATTTCTTTGAACCCCTACCTTAAACCCTAAATTTTAACAAAGTTTATTTGAACATTCCATTTAATATTAATCTTACCCATATTCATAATATAATTTCACCAAAGTGTACACCCACCTAATTTTGCACACCCTCTCTTCTTCTTCTCTTAGCAAACAATGAATGATTGAGAGACGATTAAGAATAACAAACGACTGAGAGACAAATTAATTGTCCCTCTCTTTTCTTTTTTCTCATAAACGATGGTCTATTTTTCCTTATCACTGTGAACAATAGTATCTCGGTCGAAAATCTCGTTGGAAATCTCTTCAACGGTCTATTTCTTCTTCTCTTAGGTAACCTCTGACTCCTCATCACACACACACACACACACATATATATATATATATATTTATTTCAAGGTAAAACCTTCGACATGGGGGAGTTTAGAGGGGAAAAAAAACCCTTAGAAAAACAAAAACAGAGAAAAAAATTCTACAAAGATGAAATCATTCGGTATTCCAGTACTGATTTAAATGTTTATATTCAGCACTGTATTACTGAAAAGAACTTTAACAGTTGACAAAGCAGTATCGAACCGACAATTACTCAGAATCATAATTGTAAGATAGATAAACTTACCAATGTAAAGCTAACCTTATCAGAGTTATTGCCATCGTCCTCTATTATTCTATAAGTATCAACAAATGGTGAAAACGACAACAAATGTAGAAATTTGGAGTCTGTAATATGATTGTTTGCAACATTAATTGATTTGGAACACTAAACACATTTGAAACCACTTAACAAAACATTAATTGATTAGGTAGCTTCAAATGTTTTTTTTATTGAAAATGAATACATGAGTTTGGGATGGTGATGAAGAATTATATGATTATGGTTTAGATTGGTAAGGAATATGTATAGATGAAGATGGAGATGTGTGTACATTATTGTAGAGTGTCATTCTAACTGTTTTCATTTAGTGGGTGACTGTTCCATTAAAAGTAGTCATTTAATGTAATTTTAATTTAGGGTATAATTGTAATTTTTATTTTTTTTAAAAGGTGAGAATTTGAGGTTCCAAAAAATTAGATAGGTGCTAATAATTTACCTTAATAATTTATAGGATAAATTACAAATACACCCATGAGGTTTATTTAAAATATAAATTGCCATTTGTGATTCGAAAAATTAGATTTCACCCTTTCAAGTTTTCAATCTCATAACAAAATGACTCATTTTATTAATAAAGAAAAAAGACAATTTTAATCTCTAAAATATGCATTTTTTTAAAATTTTAATTCCTTAAGTTTTAATTTTTTCATTTTGGTCATTGAAATTGTAAACTTGAGTCAATTTGATCATGGGTCTAACATTCGTCTACATTGGTAACATGAATATAAATAAAAGACAGTTTTGGTCCCTAAAGTTTGCATTTTCTATCATTTTTAGTCCCTCAAGCTTTAAATTTTGATCCTCAAAGTTATCAATCTAAGTCAATTTAGCCATAGCTCAAATTGACAATATAGGTTTAACGTTCGTCTACATTGGTAACTGAATATAGATAAAAGACAATTTTGATCCCTAAAGAATGCATTTTTTGTTATTTTAGTCCTTTAAGTTTTAAATTTTGATCCTCAAAGTTATTAATCTGAGTCAATTTGGTTGGAGTTCAAATTGATAATTTTGAGGACTAAAATTTAAAATTTAAGGCACTAAAATGATAGAAAATACATATTTTAGAGACCAAATATTTTTTTGTTGTTAATGTAAACGGACGTTAGAAATAGGACTAAATTGAATCAAATTGATAACTTCAAGGACCAAAATGAAAAAATTAAGCTCTAAGAAACTAAAAATGGCAAAAAAAATACATTTTAAGATAAATTATCTTTTATCTTATTAATAAATCATCAACTAAATAAATAATTTTTAATAATATTAAAATATATTTCAATTAATAATTTAGATAATTTTAGTAGTATTATGTAAAAGAGTAATTTTGAATTTTATTTTTCCATGTTATTTCGTTAAATAAAAAATTATGATAGAAGGGTATTTGTAATTTTAAAAATTATAGGCCGATTCATATCTCAATTTGTAATTAATCCTAATTTATATGTATTGCCGCCGATTACCCTATATATTGGCGCCAACAGCTCTGTACTATGAAGTTGCAGAGAGACGGAGTTCCAGTCCCTCAAGCTTCGCATCATGTTGGAGCTTCACAATCTCCCAAACTCACCGACTCACCGGTTCTCCCACCGAGTTCACCCATGTGAACTCACTTCTCTCCCATCACTCTTCTCATCATCATCATCAAATCCTCCTCACGCTCGAATTCTTCACCAATTCAGTCGAATTCAAACAGTCCCTTGTTTCAAAGAACCTGTACATTTTCCAATCGACTTGGTGGAAACTTCTTCAAGCCACGCATTCCAATCCGAGTCCAAGGTCGAAGACGATGACACCAATTCGACGCCCTCTGGTACAATTTCCTAACCCTAGACTCTCGATATATACATACATATACAAATAAATGTGAGTCTGTATCCCTAGAATGCTTTAATATTTGGGTAATTTTGTAGACGTTGGCTTGATTCAACATGCTACGTGGATTGGTTTCGCTACCATCACAAGCAAGATTCTGGTGATTTTTAACGATTAAAACCACCTCAACATTTTGATTGTTCTTGCTTAATTTTTTGATGTAATTGTTATTCTTTTTCATTGCAGGGATTAATTAGGGAGATTATCGTGGCTTCAGTTTTCGGCATAGGTCCAGTGGCAACTGCATTCAAGTAACCACGCGTTTCTTTAATCATATTTCATGTAAATACTTATTACGTGTTTATTTGTATAGAGGCTAAGATCTTCAGCCCCCAAATTTCTCTGTTTCATTGTTGTAAACCACTCGTAAAGATTTGATCATGTCTTGAGATTTTCACGTAATCCAACCGTTGCGAGTATTTTAGGACACTTGGACATGGTGGGTTTAAATATTCATATGTTGTTGGGTACTCAACCACCTTCCTGCAAATTTGTGTCCCTGGTAAACTGTACTTGTGATGATGTTTCCAGTGTTGTTTCTGTTGAGAATGAAACCAGATTTTATTCTAGTAACATTCATCATATGTTCAATGAACAACGATCGAAGTTCTTGTGAGAAAACTTATGTTGAGGAGTTATTCCCTTTTACAGAAAGAAATATTCTCATAATGGTTAATTCTGTGTAAAATTTTCAGGTATGCTTATGTGCTTCCTGGTTTTTCTGCATCACTTCTGGGTGGTTAGTTTTCCTTGTAATGTTTAATGAGTTGTTTTGATTTCGGATAGTGCTTACATTCTATATGATATTATGGACAGTATCCGTCCTCTGAAGTAGAACACAAAAAAACATTATGCTTGTCAATTGTTTTGTATGCCATATTACTTCATTGAGCTTTCCTTTTATATCTCTTCTTTTTGCATTTGTTTCCCCTATAAGTAACAGGTTAAACATTTCATGCAGGTGTAAATGGTCCCATCCATATTACTATGGCCACCACTCTAAGGTTGTGCATCCTATTAGTGCGAAAAGCACTTCACTCCTAACTTGTATGTCACATTCTGATCTTGTTGTAATTTGAGATATGAACTGTATGACTACTGATATTATGTCATTTACACCTCATTAATATATTCTTTCTGACTCAACGTCATATAGTTATTTAATTTCATGAATCATGATTTGGGCACTTGTATATAAAGCTTTGTGATTTTTGCAGGCTATTACAGGCAAGTCATATGTAAATGGTTTTTTTTGTTCCTCTTTCATATTATGTTTCACATTTGTCAAGACCTGAGCTAGAAGAAATAGGACTAATGCATGTGCAAAGAGAATGTTTCAAGTCTTCTATGTCCATACTAGATTGTGTCACTATTTGGGACCTTTCACTGATCTATTAGAATGAAATTCTTCCTCCCAGTTTTCATATATTTCAGTTTTTAATTTGTTTGTTTTCTTTCACAAGGGTTATTAAAACAATTCATTTGAGTCTAATTCTGATATCTGTGAGCATCTGCTGTGTGACTAGTAAGCTTTCGAAGGAGCGCCAGAAGAAGCTGTTTCTACATATAAATTTTGTCCTGTTTCTGGTATATTTTTATTGATAATAATTAGTACTTCTGCATCTTGTGGAGCCCCTTGTAGTATTGATGGAATATAATTATATTATGCAGGTTGGAGGTCTTATTGGTGCTCTTGTGCTTGTAACTGCCGAGTTCATCATTCATCTTTATGCACCCGGGTAATAATTCTGGAAGATTGAAGAAAAATGAATTAGTTTGCTAAAGGCTTGAATTTAATGACCTTGCAAGTGTTGAGTGACTCTGAATTAATTTTCCCAAGGGATTTTAGGTGAGATTACCGTATTATTCTTCTCCTTCACAATATTACTATTCACATCCCCAAAACAACCCTATTTCATCTCCAGAACCCTATGTAATTATGCCCAAAATCATCCCCAACCTTTTCTTTTACCTGTTGGCCTTTAAGTCCACACCTAAAACATTTGTTGCACAGGAACTTATAGCATATGTTTTTTGCAAATCCTGCAACATACCCTTCAGGAAATCAAGCCAATTCTCACAGCTTTTTTTCTCCAAACACTAGAAACTTTATTCTGCCTTTTAGTTCTCTAACCCTATTAGCTTTTTTCCTACCCTAACCCACAAAAAATCTGCTTTTAAGCATCCTTAGACTATGTTCTTTAAAGCTTTTTTTACATCACAATGACTCCAGGATATATTAGCTTATTATGTTAACAAGCTTTTGATATTGTTTTTGTTTAGGCAATTTTTTTGTAGCATGTTTCTTCTGTCTTTTCAATGCTCCTCGGTTCTTGCTACAAATAACTTGGGAGATAGAAGATGGTTCTATTAACTTGTAGCACACTCTTCCTTTTTTATCTCTTCCTTATTGCTTCTTTTACTCACACTTGCTTTGTTAACTATCATATAAACTGTAGTATTGCACATATGAAATAGTTCTTTATACTATCGTATGGCCAAGCTTGATGCACATGGAAGTCTAACATGTTTAATGGTACATCATTGTAGTCTTAGCAATTTATGTAAGATCTACTCCATTGTTGACTGCTTTATATGATCTTTTTTCTTAATTCATAGTTTGTGGGTCCTGGCAGAAGGTCGAATAACGAGAGAAATAGCTTGTGCACAGGTATGTCTGCATCATTTAAGTAAATATAAACATGGTTATCAGAATTCCGATCCGGATCTTATGATCCTACGAGCTTACGATCCATTTGAGTGCAATCGATCCGGATCGTGGAAGAAATTCCTTATAGGTAGGATTGTTCGATCCTGCTAATGGGATCTTATAGGATTGTGGAATCCCGATCCAAATCCGATCATATCTGATCCAATTTACAAGCTTTGTTTTGTATTGTATGACATATTTTATTGTAAATTTTATATTTGTTGTCTAAATATCAATTTATGTGGTCAAATTAAATAATAAAAATTAAGTAGTATTGAATCAAATAGATTAAGAAAAACAAACTAGGAAACAAACATTCAAATATTACGATAATTTAAGGAAATTAACTAGTCGGAAAAGCAAACTTAGCTTTAGCAGAGTCTAAGGAGAGTAAGATGATTGCAACTTTATCCCAATTTTTGAAGAGATTATTTTTGTGACTCGAATCCGCTTCACCAGGGATGCTAATGACAAACCTTATCATTCGGTTAAGCTGCTCTTTTGAGTTCTTAATATATTTTCATATCGAACTTTGTTAAGTATTTTTTCTTCACTTTTTATACATAATTGTAGATTGTAAAGTATTTTGTTATAGAATTCGTCTTCTTCACCTTCTTTTTGGATGAAATACAAAACTTTTACCATCGAGCTTTCTATGTATATTTTACATGGAGTATTATATTTTTCACAATATCTTCACTTCTTTTTAATAGAATATAGGCTCATTTTGTGTATACTTTTAAGAAATATTTATTTAAATTAAATTATTATGTAATTTGTCTTTTTCGATAGGATCTTACGATTCTCGATCCGATTTTACGATCTGATCCTATAAACACCTCCAACGATCCAACGTAGAATCCCGATTTTAACAACCTTGAATATAAAGAGGCAATAATATGGTTTGTTTATCTTACAAGCTATGAAGCAAGCCGTACAGTACCCATACCGGGTACTTACCACCGAATGATACTTTGTATGGTATTTCTGCATATGTACCGGGTACACGAAACACGTTTTCAAAATTTTCTTCCTTAATTTTTGGTGTATCCAGACGTACCTAGTATATACCCAAGTCGTATCGTACTTCAGTCGAAACAATATTTTCTTCTACCGCAGAGATAAAATTCCTATCACTAGACTTCTTTTTTATTTTTAGTTTTATGGTTGGCATGATTTTGAAATTAAGTTGTGGTTTGTAAGTTATTTAATATAATGACAATTAATTTTAGTTTATACCTTTACTTTTGGCATTAAATGTTAATTGTAAGTTGGATCTTAACAAATTAAACTATTTAATCAATTTTTGTATTATTCGAAATTAAAAATAAATATTTTTTACAAACGTACCAAGCCATACCCGTATCCGTACCCTACTTTTTAAAAATTTTACCTTATTGACGTACCCTTATCATACCAGTATCAGTATTGATACTCGTACCATTGCTTCATAGTTTACAATTGTGATAGTTATACAATTTAAGTAGGGCATACATTCTAATAAATTGGGTGCAGACTCTTAGCTTATCTTTGATTTGATTTTTCTTTCTTGCTATCTTTTTCTTCTTCTTCTTCTTCTTTTTCTTCTTCTTTTAAGGTTGGAAATTGACCCTCTTATTTGATTTACTTCCATGGTGGTTCATTTTTTTGTCAAGTTGATCCTTTATGTGCCATAGTGTGCAATGTTCTTTTTGCTGCCTCTCGTAACAAGTTTTGAAATTGGTTTGTAAATGAAGTGGAGCCTCCATATCAATGGCATTGAGTTTGGAATAAAATGTTGCATTTCTGGATGTATTAAGATTGCCCATTTCAAACTCCATCAACAATGAAGGCCTTTTCTTTTGCTTGGAAAATGTAATTCATATAAGAATGTTCATGTAATGTGGATTGCATATTTATAGTTTTAAGTTCACAGCGCATACATGCGGGTGTGTGGTCATCCATGGGCACTTTTTAAACTTGGAATTTTAGTGTTAAAATTTGCTGGAGGAAGGAAAAAAATCTCCTGTAAATATTCCCAAAACTTATTTGGAACTTGGAATTTTTGTCACGTTTTTAAGAATCCAGTTTATTTCTACAAACTTGGTGGTATTTTTGAAATAATTATTTTATAAATCTTTAATCATTTGTTGAAGGAGATTGAAGGAAGACGAATCTTACACTGCTTAGCTTGTAATTCTGTATTTATTGGTGAAACTGTGTGTGGCAGATGAGCATAATATGGTATTACCGAATATATTCTTACCTTTCTTTAAACAAAATAAAATAAAGTAATAATAATAATAATAATAATAATAATAATAATAATAATAATAATAATAATAATGATGATGATGATGATGTTAACTTCTTACGAGCAACCAATACCTTTGGTCATGTCTGGATTTTCAGTGGTAGCCCATCTGTGTTGCTAATTCAACATGCCTCTTAACATATTTTAATTTGATGTTAATTATATTATAAGCCAACCAAGAAATTGCATAATTAAATTGTAATTTTTATGATAATAATTTTTGTGAAATTGCATATTATAAGCCAACCAACGCACAACACTTCGTTATGATTAGCTTGCTTTCTTTTCATTGTCAGCTGAAAATAATGATTCCCTGCATAGTTCTTGCTGGCCCTATTGGTCTTGGTTTTGGATATATGAGGCAAGTACTATATGCTGTAATTGCATTTTGATTTGTTAATAATTTTGGCGGTTATGCAATTCTTGTGCAAAAATCTAATAACCAAGTTTAATCCTTGTTCTCAGTGCAGAAGGAAATAACGTCGTTCCCTCTATTAGCCCTGTTCTCTCTAGCATGCTCATTATTGCTGGTGTGAGTTATCCTCCAACATTTTTGGCTACTCACTATTTTACCTTCCAAATTCTTATTTTAAATCTAATAAATGATCTTAGTAGACAGAGAAGCTTGTTGTGTTAATACTCAAGGATGTGAATGTAACTACTATCTAATCATTATTACAGTGCTTTACATATGCTTTTGCAAGGCAATTAAATGCTTTCCAGACTGGTGATCTGTTATTTGGTATGTAAGAGACTCATTTTAAATGCTTTATATAGTTGCAAACTATGTTCATGTTAATGTTTGCTGCTTTATTTAGGTGGAATTCTTGTATCTTGTGGAGCTTCGCTTGGTGTTTTTCTACAGTGGGTTATTCAGGTTCTTTTCATTATCTTCTTTCTGTTATGGTGTTACATTATTCTTGTTCTGTATTGTGAATGGACATGTCATGTGTGCTCTCAGGTCATAGTGCTTTGGAGAAGAGACTATAGTATGATTCCATTATCATGGATGAGCATTTTAGAGGACAAAGATGTGCATGCGGTTACTTTCTAATACCTTCTAGATATTAGGCATTTATATTGTTGTGACATTGATAGCTTGCTTATTAAATCCAGAGGTGATTACTGAACATACTCTGGATTCTGATTATTGTCTCCAACATCATCTTCTTTTCTTTTGCTCAGTTCTTCTCCCTGCTGCTGCCTGCAACAATCAGTCTGGCCTTTGCACACATTGCCTCTTTTACTGATCTTTGTTTTTCATCTCTTATTCCTGGTGCTACTGCTGGTCTCTCATGTAAGTAATTGTTGCTAGCTACTTTTTCCCGGTGCAAGTGTCATTTTGGACTTTAGTTTGTAAATTAGCTTTAGACATACTTCTATTTTGTCCGCTACTCTTGATTTTGGTGCAATGTTGTAATTTTTGTTTTTTCAATGTGACATTTTCTGAATTAAACAGAAAAAAGAGCAAGATATAATACACGATTCGTATACAATTTGACAACTATTCCTTAGTAATTCTCATATAATTTGATGCAAAGCTGAAAGGATATGTAGTGCATATGAATTATTTTTTTGGGAGAATGGTAACACAGACAGGTGCACAGAATAGATGGAGCACATCATCATTCTGTTCTAATGAACTTCATACATTGAAACTTATATTACATTGTGCATTGTTATCTGAGTGTATGGTTCAGATTTTGCATCGATATTATGTACACCGATTGGAACCTCGATTGTCCAATGTGTTGAGATGGAACTTGTTCTTCATTGTTGCTGTGTGTTCTTTCTGAATCAAATATTTAGTATGGTATGATGTCACAGTGGATATACTTGAGATATCTCCCCAAAAAAGTGATAGTATGATCCATGTGTATGACCATCCTTCATAGCAATCTTTAGGGTAAATTACAACACCCCCTCTGTTTGTTTGAAATCACACTGTCACCCCCCTTGTTCCTTGAAATCAACACAAGTCAAATCTATTTAGTTAAAATGTCAAATGACTTTTATACCCGCATATGCCTTGGTAAACATTTCACCTAATCTATCCATAAATACGGCCATGTTTGTTTTCTTTCTTTATTTTCAGGAAAAAAAAATTCAGAATTTTTTTTGAAAAAATAGAAACTAATTTAATAAAAATAAATATCAAAAATATATTTAAAAAATTATTTATGGCCTCCCAAACATAAAATTATATAAAAATGATAAGTGTTTTTGATTTTTTTATTTCTTTCACCAAATTAATTTTTAGTTTTAAAAAAATTGAAACAAGTTTCTGAAAACCAAACCAAATATAGACATAGCCTCTTATTATCTTCTCTATATGTGGGAGGTTTGCACACAGGGAAGGCGCTTCAGGACGGACACTGTTCGATGGAACTTGTTCTTCATTGTTGCTGTGTGTTCTTTCTGAATCAAATATTTAGTATGGTATGATGTCACAGTGGATATACTTGAGATATCTCCCCAAAAAAGTGATAGTATGATCCATGTGTATGACTATCCTTCATAGCAATCTTTAGGGTAAATTACAACACCCCCTCTATTTGTTTGAAATCACACTATCACCCCCCTTGTTCCTTGAAATCAACACAAGTCAAATCTATTTAGTTAAAATGTCAAATGACTTTTATACCGGCATATGCCTTGGTAAACATTTCACCTAATCTATCCATAAATACGGCCATGTTTGTTTTCTTTCTTTATTTTCAGGAAAAAAAAATTCAGAATTTTTTTTGAAAAAATAGAAACTAATTTAATAAAAATAAATATCAAAAATATATTTAAAAAATTATTTATGGCCTCCCAAACATAAAATTATATAAAAATGATAAGTGTTTTTGATTTTTTTATTTCTTTCACCAAATTAATTTTTAGTTTTAAAAAAATTGAAACAAGTTTCTGAAAACCAAACCAAATATAGACATAGCCTCTTATTATCTTCTCTATATGTGGGAGGTTTGCACACAGGGAAGGCGCTTCAGGACGGACACTGTTCTATTTTCTGTTTGAAGACTCCGTTTGCTTGAGTTTTTGAACTTATTTTGTCATTTTTTTAAAAAAAAATTATAAATTAGTTTGACAAAAATAAACACACACAAACATATTTTTGAATTTTTAAAAATAATTTTCATCCTGAAAAACAGAAAACTTAATGAAAAAATTAGTAGTTTATTATTTTCACCAATCTAATTTTTAAATTTTTACAAAAAATAAATTCTAAAAACTCGACCACCATAATGTTATTGACAGGGAAGAAAAGGGTTCATACATGAAATGATTGGAAGTCTATTGTTTAACATGATCTTTGTGCTCTGTCAGAATTCATTATTTTAAAATTAGCTCAGTTACAGATGTGTTGGGAAATAAAAGGTTTGTTACTTCAGATATGGTTGTTCATATTGGATTTTGAAAATCTGATTGCTGGTTCCACTTTTAATCCAGCTGGAGAGTGACAGAGGGAGGAAAGTAAGGTACCTTAATACAAAGTACTGAGAAAAGAAAAAAAAAATTGAAGTTGAAAAGGGTAATTGAAAACATGTGAGAGCATTAACTAGTATGAACTGTATTCGATAAATGTGGGTGTAATGAATACAATAATCTGCATTAGAACTTACAGCATCTCTTATCATTGCTAAGTTTTATGTAATTTTCCTTGAAAGATATTGGAGTTTGATCTCCACAATGTGCCTTGGATGATTAACATAGCTACATTCTCAGATGCATATCTTCTGGTCATGGCACCTTTGGGCCTACTTTCCAGCATAATTATACTGCCTCTTTTACCTACTTTCTCGAAGGTGGCAAAGGTATTTTAGCCTGCCTGGGTGCTCCTGTAGCCTCTGGGTAGTCTCTATTTGCTCTCTCTCTCTCTCTCTCTCTCTCTCTCTCACACACACACACACACACACACACACACACACTTTTTTTTATTCTGTATACTTCAACGTTTTTGCTATTACATAACTACAATCCTAAATTTTTATGGTGATTTTTCTCTTTCTGATGTTGGTAGACTTCATCCTGGAAAAGCATGGTAGAGAATCTAAGACGAGCATTTCTACTTTGCATGGTAGGTTCTTGTACTGTGTGGTGGATCATTGTGCATTTTAGGATGGCACTTGCTTGCAATAATTTCTATTTACAAAAGAAGCTAAACTTCCTTTTGTTCTCCCCGAAAACAATATTCCTTTTTTGAACCCAATTTATGAAACTCGAAAAAAAATTGAAAAATGGAAAAAGAAGTATTTTATAGTTCTAGAAGTTTTAAAAGAAAGAATTTTTTTCTAAATATCTCTTAAAAAAAAGGGATTATTGAAGGCATTCGATTTTAACTGTCTAATGGATTTCTTCATGAATACTTAACTTATGCCTTATAAACAACTTCAGCCAGATATTAGCCTGGATGGACATGGTGATTGATTTAAACATGGGTCAGAAGTAAGTATGATGTTTAAGTTATACACTGAACTTCATAGGGACATATATGGGCCTTGTTATTTGCATATGGAGGTTTGAAGTATGAGCATACTGATCAATGGACATTTGGTTGTTTTGAGTTGCCTCTTGTGGAAGTTTTGTCCTTAATGTCACCAACTTGTAGTCTTATTTTGTTAGAGGAAAATGTATTCTTGATGATTTCATAGCGAAGTATTAGGGTGTGCCTGCCCCAAGCAATGGAGTCTGAATTTATCCTGTTCTATCTACAGACATCAACCCATCCTTGCCATTGATTGGAGGATAGTGTGACAGATTGTTTTTTAACAGATTTGGTATTTCTTTATCTTGGCAGGTGGTAAGCTTGCCTATTTTGACAATAATGTGTGTGCTGGCAGAGCCAATTATCTGTGTCTTATTTGAGCGCTATGCATTTGATTCTGCAGCAAGCACCCTAGTTTCTTCTTTGTTTATTCTTTGTAAGTACCTGATTAGTTGTTTAATGGAAAATCTGACATTACTATTGTTCCATTCTTGCTGGTTAGCTTCTATTGAATTACATCATAGTACCAATTCTGCACAATTGAGCTGGTCACTGCTGGACTATGTTATTTTCGTCATTTAGTACCCTGGTTAACTTACCAAGTAACCTAGAGAATGTGAACTTCTAGTCTAACTGTTGATCTTGAGTTGTAACAAGCAAAACCACCTAGGAAATTTTCTGCAGCTTAATTTGCAAGTTCTTCCATTCCCTCACAGATGCTCTTGGCTCACCGTTCTACATTGTCAGAGAGTTGCTTGTTGTGGTGTTTTATGCCCTTGGAGATGGAAAACGACCTTTTCTTGTCAGTGTGGGTGCTACTGCTTTAAATGCCACCCTGGACTGGCTTTTCATCTCCAAGTTCTATTTTGGAGCTCAGGGACTGGTATGCTTCAATTTTATTTTCTTCTTATAACTGGAGAGGAAGAAAATGCACAGAGAGAAATTTGTTATGTCCACGAGTTGTTTTTTTTGGTTTCTTTATCTTGACAATGTTTATGCATTAACCAAGGCACTTTCAACATCTTTCACAACTGCTTTGTCGGTATTAGTTTTGTTCCATCTCCTTCAGAAGAAACTATCAGGTAAAATATAATTGATAAATGCTTGTCTATGTAAAGCGAATTTGCCACTAGTGATTTGTTTTTTAAGTAACTTCTGGAAATGTTTACAGGTGTAATTGATTATGCTGCATTACTTTGTCCACTCTTGCTTCTGCTTCTCTGTTGCATTTTATCTGGCTTCACTACGACTGTCGCCTGCAAGATGATTTGCAATGTGTTGTCTTCCGTCTTCACCATAAGGTTGTTTTTCTTTTTCTTTTTAGTAAGTTCTAGTACTTTCTTTAGAGATCCTCGTATTATTTAATTTGTTAAACGTTTTGTCTATTTGCAGATTCCATAAAATTCAAGAGCTTCTTGCCATTTCTTTGGCTGGTACTATTGGGATGATTACCTTCTTCTTTCCACTTGTGTTGCTTCATTTGTCAGGATTTCAAATGGTGAGAGATCTCGCTAGGATACTGGGTAAAGGATAATATTTTTATGAATTTGCTCATTTCTCATTTGCGGCAACGATGGATCTTGTAACTTAGCCTACTCACCAAAAACTGAAACTGGGTAGGAGAGTTTTCTTAATCATCATCCATGATGTGGCCGGATCTTTGGAACTTAGCCTACTCACCAGGGACTGAAATTGCCAGAAGTAGGGTACAAGGTGGAATTCTGATGGCTAGAGTGAACCAAAGTGGAATCAGCCCATTCGCAGATGAGACTATGAATGCTGATTAGTTGACAGTCGTCAAACCCGTTCCAACCCAACTGGAAGTACTAATGCATTGTGAGAAGAAGCAGACATGCTGAAATGCTTATACAGATTATGGATTGATTCCAATTAGATGTAAAAGATCCAATTCCAAGATGGCAGCTGTTTGGTTAATTGATAGCATCTTAGTTGTTGTACTTGAAGCCTGAGTTTCAATTTCTCACTTGATCTGTTGTGTCTTTTGATTTTAGAGATGAAATTTCATGTTTTGCTTTTCAGAAACATATCATTGAATAGATGAGGCTCAACTGTGGTAATTGTTAAGATCTCTTGGTTAAATTATTATTATTGAAGAAACTCAGCAGAATATTAACTGAATTTAGCGCATGTAAAACCCATTGACGGCTGACTAGACCCGTAAACCACATGTTCTAAAGGCTTTTCCCAACTCTCACCCAACAACAAAGAGGCCTGCCTGCCTTAATATTAGCTTAGATATCTCTCTAAGCAATCAAAATTTTTGAAATAAATATGATCCCAATTTAAAAATACTATAAATTGGCTAAAGACCCTGCCACGTCGAAAAACAGGTTTAGAAACATGAAATTTGATACTGTGCAGCAGGAGCAAGAATCCTCTAGAGTGATTTTTTCTTAAAGTTTCCTAGAGTGCTATATTGTGTGGTTGGAATTTACTGGCAAGTTACATCAGTTTTTTCTGATATGACTTGTCAGTAAATCTCAACCACACAATATAGCACTCTAGAAAACTTTAAAAAAATTTCATTTTAGAGGATCCTTGATGGTGCAGCAGGACTAGACTCCATTTGACACGGAGAGGCTCTAAGCAAACCAAGCAGAACTTATCCCCAGCAACGTGAAGCAATACTGGAGCATACTCATTAATGGAACCATCCTCGCAATCCATATATTAACCCGGTGTAGGACCATTTATCGAAACCAGTAACTGCGATTTCACATTAAAGGGGAGATCATTCATCTTATGATCCAATGGTTCCCAGCATTTAGTTGTGGCGTCCTAAGTGTGAAAAAAGTCATCTTTTTCACATGATGCTACTAGAACCTTATTAAGGTCATGTAGAGCCACAAAAGAAACCGTACATTTTAGGGTTTGGTCAAGGTGAAGGAAGGGAATCCCAATGACCTGATTTGGGATCAAAAACTTCGGCCCATGGTAAACGCCATCTACCACATAAATCTTCCTATTGAGGGAAACTGATTGAAGATATATGATCTACCATTAAGCATCTGTGAATGGCTTTTCTGCCAGGAGGATGGTTTCTTAGTATCCAAACAACGAGCCTCACGTGAAAATCCACAAGAGGAATTACGACCGCCCATACTATAAGTGGCAAAGCCCACCGCAGCACAGCAACTGAAATCAGAGATCTTCTTGGACTTGTTCAATGAGTATGTATGTAATCACCGAAGCCTCTCCGGCCACCAGAACCAGAAGCATTCAAGATGAAGGAATAACATATTGAGAGTACTCGAACGGACACGGATCTCTCGTGAAGTTGATGAGGAAAGGATGGAGACTACGATGCCATGGCCTCTGCTCTGTTCTGTTCTAGGGTTTGTCTTTTCCTCGTTTGGGATGGAGATACAAGATTGCATTTGCGGGGATGGTTACACACGTGGTCTGCCTGCCTTGCTTGGGAAGCAAAACTTTTGATATAACGCTATGTTTGGGTTGAGTGATTTTGGAGAGAAAAGAAAAGAAATGAAGAGATTTGTATTTTTTTTACTTGTTTGGATAATTTAATTGGAGAGAAATAGACAAAAATTGAGAGAAATGGAGAGAAACTCATTTATCTTATAATCTCACTTTCAATCTTCCCAAAAGTGGAGAGATTGGGAGAGAAAAGAAACTATTATTTTCATAATATCAATTTTATTCTTATAAAAATAAAAGAAATAAAATGATTGAAAATATAAAAAAGTTATTTTGGTAATATAGCATAAAATAATTTTTTTTCTTTTCTCTTAATGAAATCTAACCAAACAAGAATGAGAGAAATCATAATCATTTCTTTTTTTTATTTCTTTCTTATCCAAATAAAATGAGAGAAATCACAATCATTACATTTCATTTCATTTCTTTTCTTTTCTCTTATTACTTAAGTAATCATTTTTTTTCTTTTCTCTCACACGTTCCCAAACACAGTGTAAAAGAAATTTAGCCATCGTTTAGGGAGGAGGTTTGGGGTTATTTTAGTCACAAAAAATAAAATAGGTTATTTTAGTTACAACAAACAAAATATCATATTCAATCTATAATTATTATACTTTTCTCTCACAAAAAAGTTAAAAAAGTTCTTCTAAAATCAAGTTTTTTAACCCAGACTAAAATAGTAAAAAAAATTAAAAAATCAAAAAATCAATCCACTTCCCAAACGGAGGCTTAAAAATTTATTCCTAAACGTACTATGGTCTTTTGGGTTTAATTTTTTTAATTTTTTTTTTAGTGAACTTATAATTTTTTAAAAAAAGTTTTAGCTTTCAAATTCAATTCAGCCAATTAAAAAAAATTTAAAAAGACAAAAATAAGCAAAAAAGTAATAATAGATTTTTTTAATTTTTCAAAAAAAAAAAACTTTTTAGATTCGTCTACATGAGGCGGCGAACCAAAAAATTAAAAAAAAAATTGACATAATTTTGAAAAAAAAAGCCACTAAAGGTAAAAAAAATTTAAAAAAATTGTGGCTTTTTAGTTGTTGACAAAATATAATGAATGTAATATCTTTCCTTTAAAAAATGCTTGATAACTTCATATTAAGTTTATTTATTTGTTTGAATTTCATATCAAGTATTGAAAGGTAAAGTGTTATAAATCTCAAATTATTTTAAATTATTTTCCTGTGCTGCATAAAATATTAAAAGAGAGGGAAAAAGTTGATTGGTGAAAAAATAATTACTATAAAGTTGCTATTATAAATAAGGGAAAAGTTAGGGATCATGAAAATTTTATCATGAAATTGATCATGAAAGATTTATGATCCTTGGATTATCTGGATTAGTGTGTGGTGCTTTATTCTAAGTGTAATCCAAGGGTCACAAAACTTTCATGATTATTTTCATGATACCTAACATTTCTGTATAAATAAAAGCTTCAAATATCTCCACTTTGAACTATACAATTATGCAACACAACTAATCCTCTTGACAAAATATGCATGTAAAAGAACATAAAATCACAAGGAGAGCCTTAAAAATTAAAGGACGGCATTTTTCATAAATAAATTGTCCAAGACTCATTTCTATGGATGTCATTTTCACAATAATTATGCTCGAGAAGATGCCAAGCTCGACTTCTTTAATCTTTCCTCACTCGATGTCCTCTCCAAGCTTGCCTCGCTTTCAAAAGTGTAACATCCAATGAAGCCACAAAATGTTCACCTTTTGATATTTTCCAAACAAAGTGGTTGGCTGACAAAGTGGTTTTCAAAATGCATAGAGCCTGGTACCTCACTCAAGTGTGGTCCTCTCTTTTCTGCTCATTAGCACTTTAGTTTTCAATAAGGACATTTAAGGCTCTACAAATAAGTTCGAAGGGCTTTCCTCGGCTCTCTTAACATCTCCCTTTATTGACCCCTTATTTAAGCAGGTATATCATCTAGACCTAAGAAAAGAGGAGCATGATTATTGCCTCTTTCAAAATCCATGTGACACATGATTTTGGTTTGGGCTGCTGCAAACAACTTGTGTCTCTGAAATTCACTACTCTGTTTTCACGTCCAATTTCTCAGCAAACTGTAAATTTGTCAAGAGTCAGGGTGAAATTTGTCAGTGGCTGGCTACAAAGCTAGGGATTCAATTCCTGACCTCAACCACACTTTGCCCAATCATCTTCTTCAATTTCTTCCCATAAATTAAAGTTCGAAGATCTTTTGCATTAGCCCACTTCCCATCAACAGCATAAATATTTGATAACAGAATGTAATACCCCGCATGATTAGGATCTAGACGTAAGAGATTACTTGCTGCGAGCTCTCCCACATCGATGTTCTGATGGATCCTACATGCACCAAGCAAAGCACCCCAAACATTGGCCCCAGCTTGCACCGGCATCTGATCAATAATACTCATGGCTTTATCCAACTCTCCACTGCGGCCTAGCAGATCAACCAAAATCCCATAATGTGTTGAATCAGGTGTCAATTGGTATTCATTCACCATCATGTCAAACAACTTTATCCCTTCGTTAACTAAACCAGCATGGCTACAAGCAGATAATATTGAAAGGAATGTTACATCATTAGGCCTAACTGGTGAATTCCTTACCATCCGATCAAGTAACTTCAGTGCTTCCTCCCCCCACCCATGAATTCCATAGCCTGCTATCATTGAGCTCCATATGACAATATCTCTACAATTTACGCTTTCAAATACCTCAACAGCATTGTCTAAGCTTCCACATTTTGAGTACAATTCTATGAGTGAAGCCACAACGAAAGCATTATGACTGAAGCCACCTTTAACCACTAAACCATGAAGGCAAAAAGCTTGCTGGAGAATTCCTAATTCTGAACAAGCTGTTAGAATCTTCACCATAGCAATAGAGTCGGGTTGAATTTCACTGGACAACATCTGGCAGAAGACCCCCATTGCCTTGTATGCCATCCCATTATGAACAAATCCACTGAACAAAGCAACCCATGAAACCACATCTTTCTTGGGCATTCTTTTAAACAGATCAAAGGCTCCATCAGGGGAAGAGCACTTCATGTACATATCAATTAAGGCTGTAGAAACTGATACATCGAACTCAAACCCTTTCAAAGCAGCCAGTTCATGAATCTTCTTGCCCTTTTCTAAATTACAACTTGCTTCACATGCTTGTAGTGCGTTTATCACAGTAACTGTATTAGGCTCAAATCTTTTATCAACCATCTCATCGAAAATGTCTAATGCTTGAGTAGCAGCTCCATTATGAGCATAACAAGCAATCATAGTGCTCCACGAAATCACATCCTTTTGTTTCATTGTCCTAAACAAACTAAATGCAGTAATTACAGCACCTGTTTTTGCATATAAATTTAATAATGCGTTGCCCAAAGATAAGCCAGCATCAATACCCATCCTAATCATAAACCCATGAACACTAAGCCCAACCTTTAGATTCAACAATTGAGCACAAGCTGATACCACACTAACAAGTGTTACCGGGTCAGGACTAACACCTTCCACTGTCACCATTCGGATGAAAAATTCAAGCGCTTTTTCAGGATCGCCATTCTGCTCATATCCGCTAACCATTGCAGTCCATAAAACAACATCTGGTACAAAATATTCCTCAAAAACTCGCAAAGCATCATCCATCAATCCACATTTAGAATACAATTCGACCAATGCCGACCCAATGAACATATCCAAACCAAAATTATCAGATTTCTTAACAAACCCATGAATCATTTTCCCAAATTTGAGCGCCCGCAACCTCGCACACGCCCTTACAACAATGGGTAGAGTTAGATTGTCTGGTTTTTCAGCAGACAGCATTTGACAAAACAGAAGTAGAGTTTGCCCGTATTGTTTTTCTCTACAGTAGCTCCTGAGAATGGAGTTCCATAAATGTACATTTGGGTGAGGCGTTTCGTCGAACAACTTGCGTGCAGTGTGGAGAGGTGTGTATTTGGAGTATAAAATGTTTAGTTTGGTGGCAAAGAAAGTGTTGCAAGTGCGACCAGTTTTGATGATTTGGGAATGGAGTTGGGCGGTTGATCTGCCATCTTTACATGCTTCGAAAAGATTGGCAATAAATTGACTCTTATTCATACAGAAAACTCTCTCAGAAATACACCAAGCAGAGACGACTAGAACCCACCAAAAGTATACAATTATGAAGATTGAGGTGGTTTTTCGTTCATAGAATATGTATAATATGATATTGTCTGATAGTATTTGAGTGAAGTTGTTAAGCCGCTGCTAGTTTAGGTAGTATTCTGGGTATAGAAAACAAAACATGTTGTGTGTGTGTTTGTTGGGAAGTGGCTGTTTTTTTTGGCTTCTTAATTATTTATTACCCGTGTTATTCATGGCATAATTATACATATTTATATTTATTTTAATTTTTTCTTAATATATAAATTATGTTTTTAAATTTTTTTTTATAAAAATAATTTAATAATTCTATCACTAAACATAGTGTATGAGAGAAGTTGAAAATGGTACTGCAGTAACTATATACGGATTTATCTATAATTATTTGTATAAGAGGATTTTAAATGCTGATTAGGGGATTTTGACCAAATCAATAAATGCAGGCATGTGGAAAAACGTGTAGATTGAAAAAAAGTTAATAAATACTGATCAGGAGACTTTGACCAAATCAATAAATGCTGAGTTTTTTTTAAAATAAAAAATAAAAAATTTAGAAAATTCAGATTGGCATATTGAAACTTCCACAGGCTTTGGGGGTTAAAAATCACTTTTTGCTTAATATATAGTATAGATTTTGGTAGGTTATCTTTGTTTTTGTGTTTGGGAAGTTGAGTTGAATTTTTTGGTTAATTATTATATTAAAAAACGTGTTTAAAATGATGTTTGAGACTGAAATGACAAATTTATCTTTAATCTCACTTTTTTTAAAATTTATCTAAAGGGACAAAATTGTCATTTACCAACAATGTGCTTGCTTGCCATTATGACTGTGGTAGGTTGCCATTACACTGTCAACGTGACAGTGTAGCTGCTCCACTGCCGAGCGGTTTTTTATTTTATTTTAATCATTGGTTTAGGGTACTATTTGAAACTATGGATTTTTTAATGTTTGAGGCTATTTTAAGCTCAAACTTGGGTTGCCAAACACCCCATTATTATTGTAACATATAAGCTTTTCAAAAGTTAATCCAAATTAAAATATTGGATAAATTATAAATACACACACTGATTTATTTAAAATATGAAGAGCTCATGTAATTTTAGAAATTACATTTTATCTTTTAAAATTTTTAATTTCATAATAAATGACTCATTTTATTAATAAATTATCAAGTCAATTAATAATTTTTAATGTTGCCAAAAATATATTCTAATTAATAATTCAAATACTTTTATTATTGTATTGGAAGAACTAAGTAATTTTTGATGAACCCCCATTTTTGGACTTTTTTCTAGGATAAATGATAACTTAATTAATTTAGCTTCAAAAAGTCCTTGAAAAAGAGGAGAGTAGCTCAGGAAGGACATACCATAATTTTTTCTTTTTTTATGGACAATATTGCCCTTTCATATATATACATATATATATATATATCATATATTTGAAAATCTGATCCATATATACACGATCTCATATATGTAAAAATTTAATCAGTGAAGATCTCGTAAAAAGTCGATTTCAAAATTTGAAGATCTCACCAAATTTGCTTTGATCACGTGTTCTCCAATAATCTCGAAATCTGTATCAACAAGAGTTTTATATTTCAAATTTGTACGAATTTGTATTAGATTTTGAGAGTTTCATCAAGATTGAGAGTGTTGATCCAATTTTAGAGACTTTGCTTCGATCATGTGTTTGATTATTGTTCAAGTTTGATCAGGTACTGTAACAACCCCATCACGTATAATTATTAGCACTTAATTAATTGAGGAGATTTGAAATTTGATTGCCAATTATTATGATTTACTCTGGGATTTATGAAAATTATGGAGATTGATTCCTATATGATTCTATTGAGGATTAATTTTTGGAATTAGAAAGGGAAAGCCTAAGGGGCTCAAGATAGTATAAATGACGAATTGAATTATTTTAATTTCGAATATTGAATCATATGGGGGTTTAATTAAATATTCGATTCAGATTTATAAAATTAAGATTTGATTAATTGGGTCCAAATTGAAGTTGATTAAGTTATACGGATTAGGAATTAAGATTATTGTGAATTAAATTCATTTATGAGGTGCCTAATTTGGATAAGCAATTTATTGATGAAATTGTGAGTTTGATAAGAAATTGAAGGCTTAAATGATTTAAGAAACCAAAATTGAGGATAGGAATAAGTTCAATTTGATATTTGGAGCTTTTTGAGAGTTTAATTAAAATCTGATTCAGATTGATAAATTTAAATATAATTAATTGGGTTCTAATGGAAGTCAAATTAGATTAATTAAATTATGTGAGATTGTGATTAGTTATGATTAATTTAATTATGTGTTAATCAAGATTTATTAAGAATAAGCGTTATTTAATTAAATTAATCTTAGCCATAAATTAAATTATAGAATGATTTAAAGTTTTGAGAGTGTATGTACAAAGGAGTATGTGTGTGTGCATATGCTTGACATTCTATTCAATCCTTTGACATTCTAAGGAATAGAAAAATATATAGAGACAGTGGCGTAGCCAGGAATTTGATGGAGAGGGGCACAAATTAATAATAACATCAGTCTGTTTAGTTTGAGTTTTTGGTTTTCGTATTTTTTTGTTTTTAGTGAATATTTTGAAAATTTTAAATATTTTTTTTTAGATGCACTTTACTTAGATGTATTTAAAAAGTAAAAAATTTGTGAAAAAATATTTTAAAAAATTAATAAATACATAAAAATGCAAATAATGTACAGAATTTTCATATATTTTTTTTTTGTATTTTTGGTATTTAGTGAATTTTTAAAAGGTTTTTTCACAAATTTTTTACTTTTTAGGTATATTTATGTTAGATATGTCTAAAAATTAAAAAAGTTGCTTAAAATATTTAAAAAATTCAGTAAAAATAAAAAAAAAACCCAAAAACAAGTAGAATTTTCTGAAAAGTATTTTTGGAAAACTATAAACAAGCAAATTATTTTATTTTATTTTTATAATAAACAACAATGAGATATTACTAAATTTAAATATTAAGAGTCCATTTAGATAAATGTGAATTTTAAATTATAGGATTTGAGATTAAATTTTATATAAATATTGGGGAGTAACTATTTATAGGTAGATTGGAAAATTAAAAAAGAAGATAAGTTGAGATAAAAATAATATATTTTAGTAGAGAAATTCTATAAAACACACCATAAAAAAAGTGTCTCATATGTCGTAATTATGATCTTCGTGGTCTTTATTTATGACATATTATAGTGTTAGATATAATTTAGTTATAATTTCTTGTGGTTGTTATTTTGGTTATTACTATATATCAAGTAATAGTTAGTTATGACTCATTTTGATATTAGTTATGACCTATTGTAATTTTTTATTTTTTTTTATAATTGAAGATGCGTTACTTGATTATAATTTATATAGTGGTCATTTTAATTATGAATGGAAAAAAAATATGGAGGGCAAACTCTATATGTCAAATGTACATAACAATCTAATAAATTTCATATATCTTCATTTGCATGTCAATAATTATAGACATCACCATTATATTGAAATTTTTGTAAATAATAATATAATTTATCATAGTCTCTTTACTTTCAATCAAAATAATCATTATTGTTCTCATAATTTAAAAAATGTCATTAATATTTCACTTTAAATAATATTTTTATAAATTTTTTTATTTAAAATATTTTCTTTATGTTTGAAAAAAAAAAAAAAAATTTCCAAAAACCCAGGGGGCACGTGGCCCCCTAGCCCTTGAGTGCCTCCGCCCCTGCATAAAGAGAGAGGGCTTAGTTCAAGAAAAAGATGAACTAAGGAAAGAAAAGCTCAAAAAAAATTTAAAGAGAGGAAGAAGATACCATAAATTCTGAAATAAAAGTTTAAGGTAAGAAATTTATACTCAAATCATGTAGAATCTATATATAATACTTGAAATTAAGGAGACTATGGGATCAATTTCTTGTAAATTGTAAGAAATTGGGTTTTGAGTAAGAATTTAAAGCTAGGCTCATGGTTATGGAAATGAATATGGAAATTGATTATTTTTGGTTTGATGTTGAATATCTTACATGAATTTGGGTCTCATTTCTACATGCATGTAATTTGGAGGAATTAAAGAATAAATATGGGTTTTGACTTTGATTATTAACCCATGCATGTAATGTAATTTAAGAGTTTGACTCAAATTAAACATATTTTGGAATATCTATGATTTAAGGAAATAAATTTGTAAAATTAATTAGTTTGAGTTTGATCTTTATTATTCTTCATAAGTTTGAGGATCACCCTTACATGCATGTTAAAAGTTGTAGATTTAATTCATGTGTAAAAAAGACTTATGAGTTTAAATTTAGGTTAGATATGAAGAAAATTAATAAAATTTAAATTAGAGTAATTCAAGAATTAAATTATAATTTGCTTGGGAAATCAGTAGTTTTGATCCTAATTTCATATACGCAAATATTTCTTTAAAAGAGTTTATAATTTCAATTTCATGATTTAAGAGGAATTAGTAAAATGATGAAGAAATTGAATTGGATTCAAAATTATGGAAGAAAATTGGTTTGGTTTTAATCTCTAATCCATGCATGTAATGTAATTTAAGAGTTTTATTTAATTTAAACATGTTATTGAATATATTAAATTAGTTAGTTTTATTGAAATTACATATATGCAATTTTTGTTAGGATAATTGACAAGAAAATGAAGAATTAGAGCCAAGATCAAGTTTATGAAGTTAATAAGAAATTAATTACTTTGGGTTTGATTTTGGAAAATTATGCATGAATTGAGTCTAATTTCTACATGCATGGATAAATTCTACAAGTTTTAATATTCTAATTGTACATGCATCATGGATTTCTAATAATTGATCTCATGTTTTGATGAAATAAGAATTAAGCTTTGAAAATTTATGGGTTTATGAACAATGAGCTTAATTTATAAATTAAAGGAGTTTTGATGTAAATGATTTAAAATTGATCATATTTTCTTGATTATTTAAGAGTTTGCATGTTTTAGACAAGCCATGTATGAACCCAAGTTTTGAAGTTATTTTGAAAGCTCAATTCAAGTTTTAGAAATTGTGAGTTTGGAATTGGGCTTGATATGAAGAACGTGAATTGAGTTGAATTTGATGAATTTGAAGTTTGTGTGTACATGCATGTAAAGAATTGTCA